CGAGTGGCTAAAAAATAACCCACGGTTAGCTGGAAGAGCAAAAGCAACCGGTAGGGGGTTGAGAGTGAATTTAAGGCAAACACTGGCCCTTTATGGGGTTCTTTATCGAGAGTCCATTATCCAGGTCGAAATTGGGTGGTTCTGGCAAGCCGCTTTCGGACCTTGAGCCTGAGCTGTATGGGAGCAAAGCGGCTTACATCGGCGTTCGGTTACAAGGAAATTAGAGCAAAAGTTGTTGTGAACCCTTGGGGCACTTTATTGGATTAAACGCAATAAAACACTGTTTAGTCATTCACTTATTGCGTTCATTCAGTGTCGTACTCAAAAGGCTCGGAGCAATTTCCAACAGAATTGACGCTTAAATATCAAAAAGAAACGTATTCAAGACATGTTGTCAAAAAAGGCACTCTGGATCAGGACTTGACCCAAAAAGGCTGCGATACAAGATCCAGACAGTTCTTCGGCACGATCGGATGATTGTGGGGTTGCCCCCCTATCTGCACCATCCGTCCTGTCGTCTTCAAGCGCGCCCTGCACCTGGTTTTGTAGTAATTGATGCATCTCCAGTAAGTGTGGGCGATGCACTTTTCTCTCACTTCATAAATTGAGTGCCGCAAGATTATCTTGGAGTTGCCCTTAGGAGTGGGCTCGAAGTAGACCAGCTCTAAAAGCCAAGCAATAGTAGTTTTCGATACAAGGTCGACAATTCTGGTCAGGAGAAAATCGGGTTATCACACTCCTATCGAATATTATTTTTTATTCGAAAAAGAATACATCAATAATAGCCATAATTGCATGTTTGAAGTTTTACGTAAATGCCATTTTTCGCATTAATTATGATGCGATGATTAATTATTTCGCATGTGATTTACACACGAACAATAAGAAATAACACTAAAGATAATTTTTCACCTAGCGGCAACCAATAGAGAGATATAGAACACACATTGCAGCTACGTCACTAATAGTGCCGCTGTTATATTAACAAGGTTTGTACCTGCCGTTATTTGGGCACTCTTGACGCTTGGCCCAATGTCAAATGATTCATTTGACAAGTACAACACATGTTATAGGTTACAAATTAATGGGTTTCAATATCATTGCATTGAATGGCAAATAGTGCCTGGAATTAATTCAGTTCCATCCTGCAATTATCAGCGACCGGGCACTAAACCTGTTTTTCCATATCTCTCTAATAACAGCATTAATAGACAAAATAAGGCCTAACGCCGTTCGTATTGATTCAAATACTTTAAATTCAAATTTAATTACAATATACACCAGAATTAAATTGGTAAATGTACACAATTTTATGGACTACTCAGCAAAAACAAACACCTGCTGGCTAATCAGCGTGCTTAAGTCGATATTGGAGGCGTTGCTGGCATGGTTGTGGGAATACTTTATGCTGATACGGTTGCCGCTGGAAACCAGCCGAGCTCTGCACCTGCATTTGCGGTAAAACGTGCACAACCAGATGGTTTTCGTATCATAATGGTTGTTGACGTAGAAGCAATTCTGGCGGAAAACCACATTGACTGACCGCGCCGACTTTAGAAACCAGACCGTCTCCTGTTGGCCGCCTGCAAGCAAAAGTGGCGATTAGTCCGACATCCGTTCGATGTCCACCGATTGGGACATCATGTCCTTGCATTTGTCCTTGTTAAGGCGCGGCTCGTGCACGTGCTGACCAATCACCGTGACTTTGCGCCCACTGGTGATGATCTTGCACTTGCAGCGCACCGACCGCCGGTTGAAGTACTGGGTGCACATCCAGACCGTCTGATTTTGCTCTTTGCGATAGATCAGAAAGTCGTACTCGTCGACAATTATTTTTGGGTTCTTCATGCCCATCACGAAGTAGACGATGCCTGAAAAACACGCCAGGATCAGTGGACCAAAGCTCTGAGTCTGCAAGGGAATAGGGAGGAGAATAATTCCTTAGGAAAACTCCAACGGCCTCTAGTCCAGTCCTGGGGCAATAAAACCTGCCCCTTATTTGCACTGCAGTGCAGGTTTTATTAGATTACATCTAGGCGGTGCAGGTTTTTTGCAAGCTTTTACTTGACACGCTCGCGGATGATGTAGACGACTTGTGACAGCATGTTGCTGTACCGCTCCGGCTTGACGCTGCGCTCATGATTATGTAAGTCTGCGCTCACAGTCACATTACGCCCGGTAGTGACCAGGCGCGACTTGCAACGGTTCTCCTTGGAGCGGAAGTAATGCGTGCACATCCAGACGGTCTTGTGGGTGTCCTTGCGGTAGATCAGATACTGGTACTCATCCAGGATAATCTTCGGGTTCTTAGTGGCCATGTCGAAGTAGATGTAGCCTAAAAAGCAACCAACTAGAGCGCCGAGCGGCTGACAAGGGCGCTAGTGTTGCAACCCCGGATAATGTTAACGCGTTGCGACAGGCCCGTGGCGGGCTCCAGAACTGTGGGATCGTGGTTATGCGTCCCGGTCACAAACACGTTTCTGCCCTGTGTGACTAGTTTAGATTTGCACCGATTTGATCTGGTCCCGAAGTATTTGGCGCACATCCAAACCGTCTTGCCCACTTCTTTGCGTAGCACCAAGTAGGCGTTCTCATCCAAGATAATTTTCGGGTGCTTGGTCGCCATGTGGAAGTAAATTGTGCCTGAAAGAACAAAATTTGAAACACTAGGATTTTTTTATTGAATGGAGAGTTTTTCGGCCTTTAGCTCTTCTGATAGAAACGAAACCTAGAACAGAACTAAACTAGACTAGAACTAGAAGAAGCCCTATATCGTCTACTCTAATGGTGAATAAATTTGACCCTCCTGGACGCCATCCGCGTATAGTCGCGGTCGTCAGGCCGAGGGGCGTGGTTATGCTTTCCTTTCATATAGGCCACGCCTTTCATGGTAATGATCCGCACCTTGCAACGCTCGCCCTTCGGGTGATAGTAGCAGCTGCATATCCAAGTCGTGGAGTTCACCTGCTCCTTGTGGAGAAGGAAATCATAACCCTCCACCAAAATTTTCGGCTTCTTCTGACCAGTGGTAAAGTAGATCAACCCTACAAACAACCAGCTTGATAAACACGCCCTATTCGCTCCTAGGCAAGCGTGGGTTTTCAACTATTTCAGCTCCTTCACTTCCTGGATTACACTTTTTGAATCTTTTATCAGAGGATTAATGAATGGCTAGCACATGACGCAATAGTATATTTGAAGCTTCTACGACTTAAAGTTGCGGCAGATGGTCACTTGCTGCGACATCATCAGCGCGAGGTGCTGCTTCCTATTGGGATTGGGCGCGTGGTTGTGTCTGAACCCGGTGATCTGGACCATGCGCCCGTTAGTGGTTGCCCGGGTCTTGCACTTGGTCTTGAAGTAACTGGAACAGAGCCATGTGGTCTTGGTGTCCGACTTCCTCACGAAGTTAAAATCGTGGTTGTCCACGACGATCTTGGGCAGCTTGGTGCCCACATCAAAATAGATTGTGTCTGGAAACCACCGAATTATGTCCATGTAGGTGCAACTGCGGCAATGGATGGGATGCAAGAACAGTTTTTCAAAAAGTTTGATCTTTACTGCCCGGAAAACTCTCAAAGGTGCGTCTGGCACAACTGATGACTCCCTCACCATCCCCTGACCCTCTCAAATGACTGAAAGAAACTGCAGGTGGGTGTAACATCAAGAGGAAGCCGATGGTTGGGCGTCCCATAAACATAAACTATCACCACCAGTCCGCTGCTGGTAAGCTTTGATACACTGTGTCCTGAAGTAGGCCACACTTAAAATCAGCGCCTGGTAGTGATTCTGGGTAGAACAGGAGGTGGAGTATGGGAAATGAAACTGCGCCATCCTGGCTAGCTTTCAGAATTTATTCAGGCAACTACCCAAAGTTTTTGTACTTGGAAATATCAAGGCTGAAAGTATACTGCTGGCGGTTGTTGACGCTGGGCTGACTCAGTATCTCCGCAATGTCGTCCTGATCGATGTTGGCCACATCGTCTGTAGCTGGGAAGGTAAACTTGTTGCCTAGCGATTTGCGCATGAATTTGGCGACAAACTCATCCTCAGCCTTGCTCATGATGACTGCAATGTAGTGCTTCACGCTCCTCTGAGCCAAGAGCTTTACCACCACATAGTCGTTCACTTGGGGCTCGAACAAGGTGGAGGAGGGCGAGCCTGCTGGCTCTGGAACGAAGACAGTCGATCAGCTAAAACTCAACTCACTCTTACCGCTTTGGGGGAATTGTGCCGCAATCAATATACAGGTTAAAGTGTGGTTTATTTCATCCCTATTGGAAATAATAAAACCAAAAAGTCCTGCGTTGTCATTTTCTCTAGTTACAGTGACATCTTCCCGGCTCAGCGCTTTTTCAAATTACGGAAACTATCTCCCGATTACTGCTCAGACTTGGACAGCTGCAGGAACTCAGCAATCTGATTCACCATGTTGCTCAACTTGTTCACCCATAAATATGCTGCGCAGTGCATCTGCCGGATTGGTAGTTAAGAGCGCAGAGGACTGCGCATTGCTGGGTCGCAGTTCAGTATACCTTCTGATAAACTCACTAGTTCTGCCCAGTGACCGTAAACTGCCAAAATCGACAATGTATTCAAGGTTGAGAGTTACGTCCTTGTGAGTGAACAGCTTCGAATTCCCCTTGTAGCCTTTACTGTTGATTTTCTGAAAACTCCTCAATTTGACTTTTCTATGTGCGATTGGTGGTTGATTATTAGCGTGCTTTCCAACATTGAGCAGTAGACCCAGAGGGTCGCCGGCCTGAGTTGCGCAACACCTTGATGTGGCTCAGGATGACTTCATCGTAGAAGTCGGTGCCAGCCCATGAAGGTGTTATAGACTCTTTTGTAGTGCTTTGGCGAACGTTCTGGCAACGTGAGTAAAACATGTCCACTTCATCTGATAGTTTGGAATTAATAACAAATCCTTGCGGGTTACCTACAAAAAATCTACTGGCGCCAGACACGGCCCAGAAGGAACAAAGAACAACGCCATCGGATGAATGGAAATGTGGTTTATTTACGCTCTACTATCAAAATATTTTAAGTGGCACCTGGCCAATCTCTGTGGTCTCCCACAGGGTTCTCACGTCAATTTCTTCGCTCTGCGTTTAACCTTCGTGTTCCTGGAAGTGACTTTCTGTGACTAGTAGTGACCAAACCTGGGCTGGATCAGACCCAGTAACTCAGTGTTTCTGCATCCAGGAGGATGATTTTCGAAAGCTATAGCCCGAGTACTGTTCGGGATTGGGCAGTTGCAGGAACTTGGCAATCTGTTTCACCATGTTGCTCAACTTGTTCACCCCGATATGCTGCGTAGTGCATTTGCCTGACTGGTAGTTGAGAAAGAGCGCAGAAGACTGCGCATTGTTGGGTCGCAGCTCTATATACCTTCTAATGAACTCATACTCTTGTCCAGCCACAGTAAATTGGCGCGGGTATCTGGATTTTGCTCTAGGAATTGTCACCATCATGGCCGAGCCAAAGTCCACGATATCTTCTAGACTAAGGCCGCGCAGCTCCGCAGGCCGACAGGCCCCTGTTGAAGCCAATATCAACGCCACCTGCAATTGGCGCTATTGAACACTTTCCCATTACTGGGTTCAGTAGACGCACCTTGTTGGCCAGGTGTACTTTATCAGGAGCTTCGCGCAAAAACCTCTGAACGTCCTTCTGAGTGAACATCTTGGCCTTCTTTGCCTTGTAGCCTTTGGCGTTGGCCTTGAGGAAGCTGCGCAACTCCGCATAGGTCTCAATGTGCACTTGGTGGTGGATGATCAGTGTGCTGCGCAACATGGAATAGTAGGCCCAAAGTGACGCCGGACTGTACGACTGGCGTAGCACCTTGAAGTAGCTCAAAATCACTTCTTCGCCGAACGTATCATTGTCTTGGAGGCTGTGCCAGTCCATGAAGGTGTTGTAGACGGCCTCGTAGTGCCTCCGCGACCTTTCAGGCAACGTCGTCGAGGCCCCATCTGAAACCAGAGGGTTCAAGATCAACCAAGCGAGCCACCGTCACCCACTCCAGCCTCTCGCAACTCCTCAGCTTCTTCCGACTAGGGGTTCAAAACAAAGCTCCAAAAATCAAAAACAGTAGGCAGATTTTACTGTTTTATTGGCGTGTTTCTAAGTCAGTACAGTCGTCATCGGAAGGCGAATCATTGACCTGTTGCCTGCGCTTGCCCACTCTCTTCTTGCTATTGCTGTAGCTGATGATAACGCGCCGCGGCTCCATCGCGCACTCACCCTTAAAGGTGGGTTCATGGTTGTGGTCACGTCTTTTAATCACCACGTGATTACCCGTTGTCACCACTCGCGCCTTGCATTTGTTTTTCTCCTTGGTCAGACAGCACCAGCACATGTTAGTAGGCGTAGTCTGGCGCTCCACCTTGTACTCGAACTTTCCCAGCACCATGATTGGCCGCTTCTGCCCCCTCCTGAAGTAGATGATGCCTGCAAAAGCCTGCGATTAGTCGGTTGAGTTGTGGTGCGTAATGGGTGGGAAAAGAAGAGATCAAACCAGCCCAGAGAGGTTTTATTTGCGATCGGCTTTCCGGTTCTTATAGGTCAGTGTCACGTAGTGATGGTACAGATTGTGTAAATCCTCAGTAAAGCTGGCCGGGTGGTTGTGCTCGTGGTTGGTCACGTGGATGGAGCGCTCTACCGAGTGCAACCGGGCTTTGCAGTGTAATTTTTTTTTGAGGCGGCAGCACCAGCGCGTTTTGGCTGGCGTTTTGCTTTCGATGTAAAACTCAAAATTGTCCATGACCAAACAGGGCCGCGGCGCTTTGCGGAAGTAGACAACCACTACAAAAGGGGCTTGCGTCAAGTTTCGGGACTGCTGAAGAAAATTTGAGTGTACCTTACGGGGCCTCACAAAACGACGCAGTCCCGCCCTGAAGTTTATACAGGGTAAAAACTAAAGACACGCAAAAACATGCAAAATTAATGTATTTTCTTTCAGCACTATATACCAGAGCTGTATACTAGAGTATTCAAGTATTAATCACAGCAGCCTCTTTCTTTGAACGCGCTGCTCCTTGCGGCGTTGCTTAATGAGGGCGGTAGGGGCGGTGTGATTGTGAAGGCCGAGCCTCATTGTGACCTTGCCATTCAACGTATAGCAGGAGGCGGCGCACTCGCTTTTGAAACAGTTCCAGACCTTTTCGCGACCTTCGCGTCTCAGAAACTTGTAGATCTGATTCATATGCACCAGACTGTCTGGCTTCTTGTTGGCGCTCAGAATGAACTCGTAGGTGTAGGCTAAAAAAGCGCTATTCAGTACCAGCTTGTGGAGTGTTTGGATGGAAGGGGCTCTAGAATAGCCGAATAGAACACATTGTCTTGTTCTAGAACGTTTATTCAGCCAAGTGCTCGCGTCGCCAGCGGTTCATCTTGTTGCGCACCATTTTGAAGGGGATCTCTTTGGCCGCGTTCGGGTACCTGCAACATCCACCTAGGCTCTTTTGGCCGCTCGAAAAGAGAAAATCTACCTACAATTCGGCAAGGGTTTCGTGCACGGTCCTGGTAGGAACTATAAAATTCCTCACAGTCATCTCTTTGAGTTCGCGCATAAAAATTATCTTCTCCTCAGCCGAAAAGTCCGGTTCGTGATTATGGGGCTTGTTCAACTTGATATCCTGCAAGGACCCATCATATGGAATAACTGCGCGAGCGTGGCACCCCAGCTTCTTGTACTCCATGCATCGCAGGTAGCTGGAAGCAGGAAAGTTCACTCATTGGACTCAAGTAAGCGGCGCCACTTACATCATTGGCGGTTTGCCTTTGGTGATGTTCACATGGAACACAAAGCCATCCACGATGTATCGGGGCATGTTCGGCTTCCGTCTGATATCGGGCACGGCGCACCCTGAAACGACATTTTGAACGCATCAGTTGCATGCAATGCACCGGATTTTAGGTAAATCAAGTCAAACACATTGGCTTAAGTTTTGCAAATCTCTTCGGCTTTATTGGGCATAGAAGTGAGACGTTTCTTGGCGCGCCATCTACTCATCGAGGGGCGCACGCTCTTAAAGCATCGGTGCATGGCCGCCTGACGGTAACTCAAAGCCACCTCATTGTAGACGTCTTTCAGCGTGTTGTGTAGATCAACGGAACGCCGCAACGCGCTCAGAAACTCTGAGACGTTGTCCTGGTTGCCCTCTGGGCCGTGGCAATGGGTTCCCGACAATCTCAGCTCTAGAGTGTTCAACATCTGAACGGCCCGCGCTTTGCAGCCAGTTTTTGGGTAGAGGGCGCAACGCATGTACCTGCAAAGAGGAGGGAGGCTGCACTCAAATAAAAAGTTAATTCAGCCTTGTTATGGAACCTTCTTCGGGGATTCGTCTTGAAATAACTGGTGGTGTACCAGTACCCATTAGCTAGAAACCTCCCCAGGTGAATGCGGGCTTTTTTGGGCCTCCCACCTGAAACGCTCAGTTTCGATTAGCCAGCCAACGGTGATTTGGACGTACACTCAGAAACCACTTATCGAACTGGTTTTGCACAAATGTTAACGTTTGCTAATATTTATTTAGACACCTTCAGGGCAGAGTTCAAAGTTACCTGCGAATGCAAAAAAACTAGCAAAACGTTGGCATTTAAACAAAAACCGGCTCAATAAGATGTTGCTCATGGACCCCGCCATTTTCCGCAAGTATTTGGTATCTTTATCAGTAAAATCCCTATAGCGATTTGAGCAATCCCTCAAAATTGCGATTGTTAGCCGATTTGTCTAGTTATCGCTTCAATCCACATTAAAAATGAAACAATTTCAGAGCAGTTCAGGCCAACCCAAGTGGCTTCTTTATCAAAACTACACTCGTTTGAAGATTTCTTTATTTTAAATACAGCTTCAAGCCCACTGCCATTGCCTTAAGATGTGCTCTTCATGAAACTCTGTTGCCTGGCGAGATTGATGGTACGCACCGCCTTGGAAAACGGCCAGATCTGCTCGGTTTCTGGATAACTGCAATCGAAAAACCCTCAACTAACTCAACCTAGGACGTGAGGCGAAAACCTACATCGACACGACGCTTTTGTAAACATCCAGGGGCTTTCCAGGAATTCTGGCCGCAAAGTCCTTCAAGGTGCGGGCGATTTCCGAGAATCTGGCCATTAGCAGGTTGGGCGGATGGCTGTGCTCCTCGACCAACACGAAACTCTCCACACCCTGCCCTCTAAACATGTAACCTCTTCCCCGACATCCCGTAGACCTGAACCCCGAACATCGCATGTATCTGGAAACACCTGGGGGTGAATTGGGTGATTGGCAGAAAATATGCAGGAAGCCGCTTACATTTTAGAGGAAAGCGCGCTGCTGCAGCTGCCGTAGGTGTAACCGCCATGGTAAGTAGATTTGCGTTGGGCGCCAAACCTTCCATCTAAAAAGGAGGATTATTTATCTGGGTTTCATCAGTGGGCTGGGGGGCTCGAATGGCGGCCCACCAATTTAAGAAGTTCTTCCGCCATTTCACAGCTATGAATCAACTTCCAAGAAAATTTCCCCTATGAGAACCAACAGGGCTACGAGTTGAGACATGTTGTACAGAACCTACTGGAGCCTCCTACTTCAACGTGGAGGCCATATCAAAGAAAAGGAATTGTCCGTTGAAAACAGAGGAAATCCTGCAGACTGCGCTAAACCCATGCAGCACAAGAAATAATTTCGAAGAACTGCTGCATTACATTTAAAAACAAAGCAACAAATTGGGGGAATCATTCGGGCCCTAAACTCCCAAAGAAATTCCTTCTTACACTAACACTAGCTTTATTCAATATATTTCACATGTCAATTTCAACTTAGTCTGCACAGCACCGGTTACCTCCTCCTACCAGTCAACTGTTGGACCTCTGGAGCAAACAAAAGCCATTGAGTGGTGATCACCGTTTATCCAACTTGGACTACGTACCTCTGGGTCTGGTCCGGTTGATGGAAGACGGTAAAACAGCGGCTGATTTGTTTAGATTGAGAAAACAATTAAATAAACTATCACCTTTTGAGACTATTGACCCCCAAAAACCCTAAGTTTGTCTATTAAACAGGAAAAAAAACAGCCATCCAACTGGCCCTTATTATTATAATTTAATTTAAAAGGGTTCTTAATTGCGTTTAAACCCAAATGTCTGGCAGTAAAACATCACATTGCATTCCAAACCCTTTGAACGAGTGCGACAAAGATGTAAATACTCTATTGTGTGTTGAAATTATTCAATAAAAATAACAAATATTACGAAATTACAAAAAAATTATAATCCCATCGATGGGCAAACAGGAGACAGGTTCAATGAATGGTTGATAGGCAAGGATGTTGGTGAGGAAACTTGGGGAAGAAAACATAGTCTATTAGTATCGGAAGCGGGTGGCTATTAAAATTATCATCCCTTTGGGTAGTTAATTCGTGTCTGCAGTGCGTGAGGTACTAGGTTCACTTGTAAGTCGATTGAAAGTTGAAAAACTAAAATATAGCCATATCCTTTCGGCAGTAACGTGATTTGAAATTGAAGTCAGAGATTGGTTTAAAAGATTTTCCCTCATACATATTAAGTAATTGTGAGCCAGAGGAATGGATTGACAGAAACGGCTTTGGCTGCACAACAAAGTATTAATGCCGGTTCATCCACGTATCATTGTTAAATCACTGTTAGTCTTTATTTTTCATTGTTGATACATTAAACCTTTGTTATTAGTATACAAGCTTCAGGTAAGTGCAAATACTTTTGTCTATAAATTCACTTTACAGGAAGGAGCGCAACCGACAACATGGCATTTAAATTATTTGAAGTTGCAAAATTGAGGTAAAATTTGGTGAGTGTAAACAATAAATTGGAAAAATAGTCCGTTTCGATCAGCGGACAATTATTAAAAAAAGAACTATAATTATTAAGTCGGTAATGCAAGATTGTACACCTGAGACACGTTCCCCACATCTTAAAAACAAGTCGATAAATCGTTCAAATCAGCTCGCCAACTGGGCCCCATTTTGAAACCACTCCATACTATTCTCATTCTCTCGCCAATAAACCCCCCAAACCCAGAGCTCTATTTTCTATACAATACTCTACAATATTTATCTTCCAAACAGTACAAAAAACAGCTTTAAGCCGTACCCCATATTCACTAAATGCTTCTTTTCCAAGATTTCGAAACTTTTGGCGGCTCAGTTTAAACAAAAGAAGCCAATTGGGCCTCATTTTGAAACCACTCCACACTATTCTCATTATCCCGCCAATAAATCCCCCAAACCCAGAGCTATATATTTCCTCGCAAAGCATTACAAATTCAGTTCTGCCGTGAATATACAAAGTTCCACCGCATTTACAGCAATATTTATCTAACAAACAGTACAAAAAACAGCTATAAGCCGTACCCCATAGTCTAACTAAATGCTTCTTTTCCAAGATTTCGGAACTTTTGGTGGCGGTCAGTTTAAACAAAAAAAAAGCCAATTGGGCCCCATTTTGAAACCACTACATACTATTCTCATTATCCCGCCAATAAATCCCCCAAACCCAGAGCTATATTTCCTCGCAAAGCATTACAAATTCAGTTCTGCCGTGAATAGACAAAGTTCCACCGCATTTACAGCAATATTTATCTAACAAACAGTACAAAAAACACCTTTAAGCCGTACCCCATAGTCTAACTAAATGCTTCTTTTCCAAGATTTCGAAATTTTTGGCTCAGTTTAAACAACAAAAAATGCAAAAACCCCCATATTGAGAATTTTACCAATTATTAGGGCAACGGCTTCACCGATAAATCAAGAAAAACCCAGCCATTCAGCTGCACCCCTTAAAAATGAAACGTTGCTCTTGTTTAATTGAGTAGAAATTGTGGAGTATAAAAAACACCCGATAGCTTCATCAACAGCTGATCGTTTTCTGCTACTTGCAAGATGTCAAACCACCGAACTGCTCTGCATTCAAAGTAGGAATTCGAGCAGCCCAAATGGAGCAAAGATAGAGTTCGAAGTAGGACCTCTAGCTTTGCTCCAACTGTTTCTAGTAAGAGCTCCCTCTTGCAAGCAATTTGAGGGCTGGCATGTTTTTCCATTGACGAAAAGCCCACGAAAAAACACGCCAGATTTGCGCGCCCTGAAAAACAAACGATTACATTTTAATTACTGGTTACAACAAAACTTACCCGATTGACCGCTACAAAAAAAGAATAGTTGAGAATTGATAGTTGCCAGCTCAGGGAACGACCTCAGCTCACCAAAACCAGTCAAAGGTTTGCTGGCTGAAGCTGCCCTGGCCGCTCACTTTCATAAGATATAGTGATCATTCCCAAATGAAAATGATCACAATTCAGGACGCTGCCAGCCCAAAATTGGGCTGGCCGCAAAACAGGGTGGAAGGGCGATTTTGCAAAACTTTACAAAACTCCCATGGGCAAAAGTAGACAATTATTCCAAACAATGTTATAAAATTAATTTACAGGAACAAATCAAAGCCCTACTTGACTTGACGGTTGAATAAAAACTAGGCAAACAAATTAAGGCCCCTTTGCGCCGTGCAGCCGAGAGGCCGCCAAATCGGATTCTTAATATTAAATTACCTTCACCATGCAGCTGCAAGGCGCAAAGGTTTACAAAAGTGACTAAAAAACCTACCTTGTCCTTCTCCTGTGCCGTCGGTGCTAGTCCCAGCCTGGGGCTCTTCGCCCTCCATCATGGAATAGTCTTCAGCTCCATCCACAGTACTATCATCTAGCATATCGTCCATATTTTCGCCGCCATCGTCGTCCGTCAACACTGACTGATTCTGGTCGTAGGGTTCCACTTTAAATTGAACCGCTGAATCGGTATTTGCAGTTTGTGCCGAAGCGGGTTCCGTTTTCGTAATAGGGGTAAGCGATGACTGCGAATCATTCGAGGTAAGTCGCGCCCGCTTTGCACTTTGATTGGGACTTGTAGTCACTGAAGGAGTGAGTGGCTGTTTTTTTGGTCTGGACATTGGCTTGTACGACTCCTCAGTATGACGCGTCGCAGGTTTTTCAGGCAGAGATTCGGTCTCGGCATCAGTTGAACCCTGAAATAGAAACGATTCTTTTTAGCTCGGAAATACGTTGTAAAAATTGAGATTTGTCGGGATCGATTTGAAACCTTCCTTCTGACCAACTTGGTTTCGAGGAGCAACTATTTTAATTATCGCTAAATAACATTGCAAATTTCATTTTTGTATATAAAACTAGTTGTTTGGCAACAGTGAACGTTCGCACCAGACTCCCCTCTAGCACAATGGGACGGGCTGCCGCGCCCAAAAATAAAATCAATAACAATAAAAATGTTCTTACGTTTCCGTCCCCGGTGAGTCCTTTGATTTGTAAGGCCTCGGCAGTCTTAATGAAAGTGGTTAAATTGTCCTGGCTCACTTGTACCTCACCCTGGTACATGAATTGTAACAAATCACTCATCGCCACATAGCTAACGTCTTTCATAAACACTATGGGGTGCTGACAGGGGTTTGATTTGAACAGTTCTTTGAAATAGGGGCTGCACACGGACAGGACCATCTTATGGGCCTTCAATAGACGGCCCTCAACAGCCAAAGTCACATCCACTAGGTCTTCGTGTTCCAGCAGCGCGTTCATGCCGGAACTCATGTTCTTGTGAAAATTGTCCCAACATAGTGAAAACTGTTCCGACGCCATGGTCGGCTCTGTAAAGACACTGATGGTTAGTCGGTTGCAAAGGACGCCATAATGGCGGTCGGCAGCTCGATGAGACTACGGGCTAAAACCAATAAGACCTTTCAAGTTCGTACCTCGTTTATGTTCCACGTATGCTTCGTTCAGTTCGGACAAGAAAGTCGGTAGTTTGGGCACTTTTTCACTCACTTTCTTAGTAGTCACTCCAGCGGTAATCCCAAATCTATCTTGTTTTTGGGACGCTACAGGAAGAGCCTCGTTGCATTCTGGGTAAAGCTTTTGCGCATCGAGCTTTTGCAGGAAGCCGCCTAGTGACACCTAACAGCATAGAACGGCATCAGTGAAAATCATTGCATAAATTACTATTACTAAACTATTACATAAATTACTTGAATTCATAATTCTTAAAGCCTAAACTCAAACAGCTTTTTTTTAAATGTAGAAAATTTTCACAATGTGAACAAGTGATCAAAGAGTGAACACATTTCTGTCTCTGTCTAATGAACGTGATAGTCGGGCACGCAAGCTAAATCTATCTTTGTCTAAGCCCTTGCTCTTCTTGATGACAGTTGACAGCAGGCTTGCCAGGTCTAACGTTTTAATGCACAAAATATCCCCCCTTATGTATGGGGGTATGTTCTGTGTTTTAATGGTAGATCTACCGTTTTCGGGGTGGGTGCTACTAGAGATTAGTAGACTCTAATCAACTAATCTCTGGTGCTACCGCCCTACCATTATCGTCTCGTCTTTATCTATGCGCCCTACCGGTAAGCCATGAGAATCTACCGTGAAAGCGTATTCATAAAATATCCCCCCTTAGAATGGGAACTAAATAGGGCGAAGTTAGCCTAGGCGCGGGGCGTCGCTAGATGGGGCGATATGTTGTATCTGTCCGAGTGAAGGCCTACACTGGGCCTTATACATACTAGGAACAAAATTTTTTAAAGAACAGTTTAAAATGCAAAAAATAGGTGTAAATGATTTCGTGATAACGTATTTACTAAAATATTATCATAAGTTCGTCTTTATTGATCGGAAATATATGTTTACCATAGAGAAAGTAAAATAATTCTACTTACTCTATGATGTTTACTAGGTTGATAACTGTAAGTAAGCTTGCAGAATTCGGCCAGATAAAATTTAGTGAATGCAATCAGGAATAAAATATTAGATAAATGACTCATATTGTAATCGAGTTTCGCGCGCGTCACCGTCAGGGGCGCTAAACGTAATTCAAAACTTAGCTTATGTCAGTTTCAATTCTAAGGGGGTATGTTCTGTGCTCTGTGATTTATCCGCTCCTAAATTAGCCTCTCGTCTCGTGTCAAAGTGATCCCACCAATGTTCTTTAATGATTGGGACATTTTCCACTCAATTCGCCGGTCGAGCGACACGTAGCACTTAAGTATGGAAACCGGCGTCTCTTTGCCACCAGTACAGTGAGTGCGAAGCCGGGGATAGTTGCCAAAGGACATGTTGCTGTTGAAAGTGGTCGCAGCCCTGCTGGGGCTGATGGGTGCGGACGCCATGCTACTGGAAGGAATCTACTGCGGCAAGAAGAACTGCTACGATGTGTTGGAAGTTACGCGCGACAGCACCAAGAGCGAGCTGGCCAAAAGTTATCGAAAACTGGCCCGTAAATACCATCCAGACATGCACCGGGGCAAAGAGGAGAAAGCGGTGGCCGAGGAGCAGTTCAAGGCGCTGGCCAACGCGTACGAGATTCTCAAAGACGACGAGAGTCGCATAGATTACGACTACATGCTGGATAATCCGGATGAGTACTACGCGCACTATTACCGCTACTACCGGCGCCGAGTGACCCCCAAAGTGGACGTGAGAATCGTGATCGTAGCAGCCATATCCATCATATCGATCGTCCAGTACTACTCGGCCTGGCAGCGCTACGATAGTGCCATCACCTACTTTAGTACAGTGCCAAAGTACCGCAACAGGGCACAAGACATTGCGAAGCAGGAAGGCCTGCTGCCCGACAACTCGAAAAGGGGCCCCAAGCGACAGAAAACTTCCAAAGACCAGATGGAGGCCATCATCAAGAAGGTCATCGAGGACAAGATGGATATCAAAGGGGCCTACGCGAAGCCGAAACTATCCGACGTTGTCTGGGTACAGCTGATCATCTTCCCCTACACGGCTGCTATCTATCTCTACTGGCACGCTTCTTGGTTTTGGCGACACACCGTCCTCAAGCAGCCCTACAGCGACGAGGAGAAGCTCTACATAATCAGAAAGCACTTTAAGATGGGGCAACATCAATTCGACTCACAGGAGGAGGAGCGCAAGCAGGAACTGCTCGATAGGAAGCTGTGGGTGAAGGAGAACTTCAATGAGTGGTTTGAGGAGCAGGAAGAAATCACCAAGAAGCAGCTAGCGGAGAATAACCGGCATAAACAGTACAGGCGCTACATGAAAACTAAGGGAGTCGGCCGGATGACCTTTGATGATTCATAATTTATTATATTTAGGAAAATACAGTTTTTACATAAACCGCCAGTCTTAGTTGTTGCTGGATATCCTGTGTTTTTGCAGTAGCCCTTCTTTAGTGAATTTCTGAAACCCGTTACGCTCTAGTTAGTGCTTCTACTAATCTAATCTTGCATAACAATATTTGGGCAATCGCTTGAATAACAGCGGTTAAATCGATTTAAATCGCTGTTTTTGCCCGCAATTATCCAATATGCCAACCTACCTCCCAAGTGTCCATGTTAATGGAGGAAATAATTTGGGAATTCTGCCCCCCATTGGCTCGGTGCGCTTCGGCTTGGTGTTTCTTCATTGGCTTGATCATCGGCACCAGGTCAACTGTAAATCATTTAATAAGCCTCAAACACTAGGGCCACAAATACTAAGGTCACTAACCCAAGTCCAAGGAGGCCTTGCCGTCCCGAATCAGAAAGCCAAAGTAAAACATGTTCTCTATGGTGGTTGCGTAGCTCTCAGTGTCGATGATATAGTCGTAGTAATTAATAGGACGTTGATGGTTGCATTTGTACGCCTCGTTCAGCACGCTGTTCATGCTTTCGACGATTTTCTGTATATGGGCCTCTTCCTGATCGACGCTCACCACTTTCTCAGGTGCCTTTCTTGCCATTTTTTCGGTCGGTGCTCTCTGGGAGCGTTCCTTCTGCTTGGGTTGCGGCACGTTGGCCAGGTCATACGCTCCATATAGATGCCGCTCAAGGGGCACCTCCGGCACTATCAAACGGGCCAATGACATCAGTGTACATAAATCTGGTTCTTCACTCTCCTCGTTCATGTATTGCGTCTGAAATCGCCCTTCATTAGATCATTGTTTTAAAACAGTACAACCACCGCGGCCTACCAGCTTCAGGGCGAACTCCGCAGGCTCATATGTAGCAGTGAAGACATCCACAGAATGGATGCATTTTTTCATAATCTCACTAGCCGAAGAGATCACTTTGAAGTCTAGCAAAGTCTCGTCGGCGTTCTGCACTCGATCTTCGATCCGCACCTCTTCATTCAGCGCGTTGGCTTGCTGGAGAATATCACCGATCTCTTGGGCGGTTTCCAGACCCATATCGCCCGCTTCGTCTAGAGTAAGAGTGGTAGCGTTAAAAAGGGCGTTTACAGGGACTAACCATCACTAACCTAGCTTCTCGGTTCTGCTCAACAATTCCCGATATGCCAGCTTGCGGTTCTGTTGGCTCCGCAAGTTGGAACTCACGTTTTCCTGTATTCCACTGCAGTTCATGATGTGGCGGAGCCCTACAGCTCATTACTTGTTTTCATCCACCCTACAGCTGTTTCTTACCCTAACCACAGAACATACATAGGGGGGATATTTTGTGACCCTAACCATAGATGAAGACAACTATAGATTGCCCACTCCCTTGCACAAAATGATAACAAGGTTTTTTACTGATACTGTCGCCATCTATTAGCTGCTTCCGACTCTCTAACGTCATTGCCCCAAAGTACCCCCCTCCCCCCGGATGTTCTGTGGTCATTGCTGGGTTTGCGTCCTTACTACTGTGTATTCAGGATTTGTTATTGTCGGCGAGCCAATACTACAATTGAGATTAAAAGATGCTTAATATTCAGTTCGATATATTTGCAATATATCAAATTGAACATAAACATACTCCTAATCTCAATTGAAGTATTTCGGCGTAGCCACAGGTGATTGAATATGTTAATAAAAACTCTATAAACATTTACACATTTTTATTGCAATAAATCAATAGGCGAAACGCCAAATACCATTATATGGTGAAAGGTGTTTGTTATAGAAACCAGAAACATTTGCTCAAGAAGCAAAATCATGTTATGAATCAAAAATTCAGAAATTAAACAAATACCTAATTCAAAGTAACATAACAAATTCATTAATTTAGCACAAAAAAATAAATCAGTACAATATAATGCAGATACATATTTAAGTATGTGTATGGATAACATAATTATATATATAATTATGTTATCGCAAAGTTCTTATTATTAAAGTAAAAAAAGTATTGTAATGTGCCTAGAGGGGCGGCAGCAACAATAGTTTCGGTTTGTAAGGAGAATTAACTATCTAACTAAAAAATTAACTTTATTTTACGGTAATAAAAGATATGAAATACTTTTCTTACTACTCACCTTAGACGTAACTATTATTTACTTCATTTCCCTAGTGAGAAGTTACATTTCCTTCCTTAGGTCAATAATAATTATAAAAAAAGTAAATAATGAGATTTTTAAGTCCACACCTCTAAGAACAAGTCAGATTTCATTTATTTCCACTTCTGAATCTTTATAACTTGAAACAAAAATTCACTAATTTTCCGCTTTTTCCACAAATTTTTCATAGAACTTTTATCTGTTTTCTGAAGACTGATCCATTATATTGCGGCAGCTTGACAACTGAACGTCAGGCTGGCTATCAAATATTGCGACACTTTAGAAAATGAATGGGAAATTCAAAATCTAATTAAATCCATTTAGACAATTTTCCGTGTTAGTAGTAAAAAAATTCTATATACATATACTTTTGGTCGAGAAGCCTATATAATTACGCGGCATTCAAGCATTCAGCACACAAGTTCAAGGAAACATATTTTGCCCAAAAATACAAATTAAAGCAGCACTTTTCAAAAAATCAAAATTAAAATGACTAAAATCAAGTCCTGGGTTCTTCAGTCATTTATTTATTGTTCATTTATCAATTTAAAAAAACGTTTCGGTGTTTTCCACCATCATCAGTTTTACTAAAATAACAGGTAGTCAAAAAAATAAAAAATAAAAATAAAAAATTTTAAATGTTCTCATTAATCTAAAAAACAATAACAGTTTGTCAATAGCTTGTTATATCACATACTAAAATACATTACTA